AATACTCCAGGTGAGGTCTCACCAGAGCAGAGTAAAGTGGCAGAATCCCCTCTCTGGACCTGCTGGCAACGCATCTTTGGATGCAGCCCAGGATGGGATTGGCCTTCTGGGCTGCAAGTGCCCACTGCCTGCTCATGTCCAGCTTCTCCTCCACCAGCACCCCCAAGTCCCTTCCCTCAGGGCTGCTTTCTAACACCTCTCCCTCCAGTCTGTACTGATGGTGAGGATTGTTCTGGCCCAGGAGTGTATCTCTCCAGCCTTGTCCCTATAATGGGAAGGGGTGAGAAATACATGTGTACCCTACACTCGCCTGAGAGTTTAAAACAACTGTAGTGTCGAACTTGTGAAGTATTTCACCAGAGACTGACTAATCCTCTTGAAAATGTCCCCGAGCATCCCCTGCCAAGCTTCAAGGGTCTCTGCATTGCTGGGGCTGGAGTTAGTGCTGTGGCACAAGTGGGTCCTTAGTGGTGCCTGTGACAGTCTGCGGTGGGGATCGAAGCAGGTTCTCGTTACCCCTGCAATCCCTTGCACGAAATGACTCTGTTTTGGTGCCTGGGAATCAAAGCATCAGATAATTCTGCTGCAAAAGCAGGTGAATCGATGAGATTGTTTCTTCTTTGCAAGTTAACAGCCCCGTCCAAGTCATGCTACTGGAATGGAAGGTCGTTAAGGTAAAAATTACTATTGTGTTATTGAAGGCTGCTGTTAGAGTAACAGAAAACAGGGGTTTTCCTTCTGCCGTGGGGATGGTACTAACTGCACTGTGCTGCCGTGGTTTCTTTCCCCTCAGGATTACTTCTACGAGCTCACCTGCATCACAGAGAGGGAGAAATTCATTGTGCCCATCCGAGCGATAGGTGCCCGAGCTATCCTGGATTTCCCGGACCAGCTGAACTTCTCCATCTGCCCAGTCAAGTACAGCACCCAGAGAACTCTGCTGGTTCGCAACGTCGGGAACCGGGAGGCTCGTTACTGCATCAGCACTCAGAGGTAAAGGAACCCTTTGTGTGTTTGTGTGTGCAAAACACTGTGGTGTGATGGTATAGTTGGTAAAGAGTGACAAAAAGGAGCCAGAACGTCCAAGCTGCTGGATTGCTGCCTGAAAATTGGCAGGACACGTGGGTTTTATAAAATCGTAGAATCATTCAGGTTGGAAAAGACCCTGGGGATCATCGGGTCCAACCATCAACCCCACTCTACAAAGTTCTCCCCTACACCATATCCCCCAACACCACATCTAAACGTCCCTTAAACACATCCAGGGATGGTGACTCAACCCCCTCCCTGGGCAGCCTGTTCCAGTCTCTGACCACTCTTTCTGTGAAGAATTCTTTCCTAATGTCCAGTCTAAACCTACCCTGTTGGAGCTTGAAGCCATTCCCTCTTGTTCTATCGCTAATGACCTGTGAGAAGAGACCAGCACCAACCTCTCTACATTGTCCTTTCAAGTAGCTGTAGAGTGATGAGGTCTCCCCTCAGCCTCCTCTTCCTCAAACTGAACAGTCCCAGCTCCTTCAATCGCTTGTCATAAGATTTATTCTCCAGACCCTTCACCAGCTTCGTTGTCATCTGCACCTTCTCCAGCACCTCCATGTCTCTTGCGTACTGAGGTGCCCAAAGCTGGACACAACACTCCAGGTGTGCCCCCCCCAGTGCTGAGTACAGGGGGACAATCACCTCCCTACTTCTGCTGGCCACACTATTTCTAATCCAAGCCAGGATGCCATTGGCTTTCTTGGCCACCTGGACACACGGCCAGCTCATGTTCAGCTGCTTGTCAATTAGAAGAAGTCCCAGGTCCTTTTCTGCCAGGCATCTCCAGCTACACTTCCCCAAGTCTGTAGTGATGCGTGGGGTTGTTGTGGCCCAAGTGCAGGACCTGGCACTTGGCCTTGTTGATGCTCATACTGTTAACGTTGGCCCATCCATCCAATCTATCCAAGTCTCTCTGTGGAGCCTCTCTATCCTCGTGCAGATCAACGCTCCTGCTTAACTTGGTGTCATCTGCGAACTTACTGATGATACACTTGATGTCCTTATCAAGACCATCAATAAAGATGTTAAACAGAAATGCTCCCAGCAGCGAGCCCCGAGGAACACTGCAGTAGCTTACAGTGTCTTAAGCACGATGCACCCTTTGATAGATCTCTGCAGGCTGCAGTGAGGTTTGATATTGCGGTGGTATCTCAGACACAGCATCTCCCGAGACCAGTCCTGTCAGTTTGAAAGAAGGAATAAAATAAGACAACTTGACCATGTGGCAAGCGGCAGCTCTAGGAGCTCAGTTCAGGTAGACCTAAAGTGTGTCAGGAAACGTCTCTGAGCTGGTGACAGAGACATTTTAGACTTTATCAGCAGCTGTGTCTGTTTTAGCAAGGGCAATCAGAGATGGTAGATCAAAGCAATCAGTCCTGAGGCCCTGACAGTAACACTGTGTGGTCCAAGAACTTTATTTTGCAGTAGGGTTTGGTCTGGTCCCACATATTTTTAAGTGTAATGAGCTCTGAAGTAGAGGCTTCAGAAGGACTACAGCCCCAAACCAGAATGGTAACGAGAGTACAAGCAAAATGTACAGCACACATCTGGTGCACAGGTTGAAGGCCTTTTCTTCTAGAGCTTTGTTTCCCACACTTTCTGGAGAGTGCTAGAATATGTTTGCTTGCAACCTCCTGATTGTAAGTACCTTCTGAAATGGCTATGTACCACTGTCAGCCAAATACATCCGTTCTTTGGGGGGGTCACAAGCACATGGTGTTTGATTAGATGAAATGCCTGATGTGAATTGAGTTGTGGAGAGCTTGTACAGCTCATTTTGGTCTCAGAAGACAGTCACCGCTTTACCAGCTTGCTGAGCTGGGAAGGGCGATGCCTTGTTGGCATCACACCTGCAAGGAAACCAGTTGAGATGGGTGGTGATGAGTTGCTTGGTCCTGGAGGTCTCGGTGTAGGAGCTGAGGTCAGGAACGAAGCATGACTGACTTGGAGCACTTGAGTTGCCTCAACTTCTTCCCCAGGAAAACAGGGCTCACAGGAAGACTTTTTACTTTTCCCTGTAAAATGTGAGGCTCCAAGAGGAGCTTCCTTGGTAGGCCAGCCAAGGCTTCTAGGATGCTATTTAAGCAGGTGGCTGCTTTTCCCTGTAGAAGTATATAAGCAGGAACTTGCAAATCACTGTACAATTTTCCTCTGGGATTTCCAGCTCTAGTTGTCCCCACCAAAATAAACAACCAGCAGGTGGAGAGAGGTCATCCTGCCCCTCTGCTCTGCCCTGGGGAGGCCCCATCTGGAGCACTGGGACCAGTTCTGGGCTCCCCAGTTCCAGAAATGCCTGATGTGAATTGAGTTGTGGAGAGCTTGTACAGCTCATTTTGGTCTCAGAAGACAGTCACCGCTTTACCAGCTTGCTGAGCTGGGAAGGGCGATGCCTTGTTGGCATCACACCTGCAAGGAAACCAGTTGAGATGGGTGGTGATGAGTTGCTTGGTCCTGGAGGTCTCGGTGTAGGAGCTGAGGTCAGGAATGCAGCATGACTGACTTGGAGAATTGAGTTGCCTCATCTTCTTCCCCAGGAAAACAGGGCTCACAAGAAGACTTTTTACTTTTCTCCTGTAAAATGTGAGGCTCCAAGAGGACCTTCCTTGGTAGGCCTGCCAAGGCTTCTAGGATGCTATTTAAGCAGGTGGCTGCTGTTCCCTGTAGAAGTATATAGGCAGGAACTTGCAAATCACTGTACAATTTTCCTCTGGGATTTCCAGCTCTAGTTGTCCCCACCAAAATAAACAACCAGTGGGTAAGGGAGGTCATCCTGCCCCTCTTCTCTGCCCTGGGGAGGCCCCATCTGCAGCACTGGGACCAGTTCTGGGCTCCCCAGTTCCAGAAGGACAGGGAACTGCTGGAGAGGGGACAGCAGAGGGCTACAGAGATGATGAGAGCATCTCCCTTCCGAGGAGAGGCTGAGGGACTTGGGTCTTTTTAGTCTGGAGAAGAGAAGGCTGAGGGGGGATCTGATCAATGCTTATAAATACTCAAAGGGAGGGTGTCAGGAGGACAGGGCCGGTCTTTTTTCAGTGGTGCCCAGGGACAGGACAAGAGGAAATGGGCACAAACTTGAGTATAAGAAGTTCCACCTCAACCTGAGGAGGAAGTTCTTTGCTGTGAGGGTGGCAGAGCCCTGGCAGAGGCTGCCCAGGGAGGTGGTGGAGTCTCCTTCTCTGGAGACATTCAAACCCTGTCTGTCTGGACACGTTCCTGTGCAACCTGCTCTGGGTGGCCCTGCTTTGGCAGGGGGTTGGACGAGATGATCTCCAGAGGTCCCTTCCAACCCCATGGGATTCTGTGATTCCGTAAAACCCAGCATCTTTTCACAATGTGCTTGCCAACCATCCTATTGAGTGATAGAGTGTATTCTGCTTGATATGGATTTTTAAGAGTTTCTGAATTTCGGCAATTAAATATTTCAGTCCAGACTTGCAATAAAGCAATGGGAAGCAGGACAGAGGTTTTATTTCAAACTACACCAAAAAAAAAAAGTAGAATTCTGAATAACTGGATTGCGTGTGTACGGACATCAAAAGCTGATATGATTTCTCTTGTCAGCTGAGGGCATCAGTCATTTCTTCCATTTCATTATGAACTTTTGAAAGCTGGTTTGAAATTTCAAACAGATGATTTAAATCTTTGAATATAAGCAGGATTTTATTCTAATTAAGTCGCCCCCACTTTAATTCAGATTTCATTAAAATACTTGGAAGTTCCTGTGTTTCTGCTCTTTTTTTTTTTTTCTTTTTCTTTTTTCTTAAGTGTTCAGCAAAATGTCATAATGAATTCTTCATTGGGAACTTTCTTAACGGTTGAGAGGTTGAGGTCTTCTAATGCCTGTCTGTCTACCATCTGCCTGTAGGTATATGCCCAGGTGCATGGGAAACAGGAAGAATTTGGGGAATATGTGAAATGGAACTGGGCTGACTTAGAAGATAAAATCATAGAGCAGCTTTGGTTGGAAGGGACCTCTGGAGATCATCTGAGCAAACCCCCCTGATCAAGCCAAGACCAGTGTCAAAGTTTGATTGGGTTTACAACACGACTTGCTACTCTGGGCCTTTTTGTGTTGAACTGGTGATGAGTTGACTGGAGATGAGGTTATACCTTCTGGGGTCTGCAAGGTACCATTGGGAGATCTGCACAAGCGAAAGTTTAGATGTTGTACAACAAAGCAAACATCCAAATGGGTACATCGGAAAAAACAAGCTTTTAAACAAACTTCAAACCTTATTTTTTCCTGTCTTTCAGGAGCAGTAGTGACTGATTAAAAGGGTAGATCTAACAGGGCCAGGATTATCTTAAAGAACAGCTCACAATTAACGGATAAAAGGCCAAAGTTTAGCCTGCCAACTTCATCTCTTGGCAGTGGCTTCCCTTTGACTATTATGATGTGTCAGGGATGTCTCCTTTGCATCTCTTCTTATCTGTAGGCTGCAGGAAGCAGCTCAGTGATGTTGACTAAAATTCAGAGGAGTTAAATTTAACCGTGGAGCTTGTATCTTTGGGTCTTGGAGAACAAGGTCCATGGGAGGGATAGTGAGCTTCTGCTCACTCTCTTGGGGGTAGAGCATGGGGTAGGATGTAGGAGGTGCAGTGTCTGGTTTGTGCTAGGTTTCTCTTTCCCAAGAACCAAGTCTTGACCTCAGTTGGATCCTCTTCTTCTAATAATCTGAAAACATGAAGATTTCTCAGGCGCCCCCTGAAGTCACCGCCCAGGAGGGTTAATCCCACCCAACCATCCCTGAAGTCACCGCCCAGGAGGGTTAATCCCACCCAATCATCTGAGGGCAGGAATACATAGACATGAGGAAGGAGTAGGAAGATGATGGGGTGGGAGGTGGTGTTAAAGTGTTACAAGGAATTTCCTTCCTTAACTAGCAGCTTTTCTGTTCTGGCAACGCTTCTGGCAAAAAAATAAGGAAGAAAATATCTGTGCCATGATCCCACCCAGGCACCAGCAGAGACCATCAGTGCAGATGCAGAACCACATAGAACAATCCAGTTCTGAGGCTGGTGAGGCCTTGTCTTTCCTTCTCTCTCCCAAAAGTCTCATGTCCAGCAGGTTGTTGGCCTGATGCTTCTCCATCTGAGTCAGTGGCAATGCTCTCTTGAGTTGTGATGGGAATAGGCCACACCCCTAATTGCAGCAACATCTCCTTAACGGGCAGAAACTCCCAAAATTTCATCAGCTGCCACTACTTACACGAACAAAGCTCAGCTTGTGCATGCCTCCAGCGCTCATTATTTTTGTCCGCGCGCTGCATTCTCTGATCATGGTAGAACTTCCCAGAACATGCTTTTATGGTGGCAAATTGTCCACCAGCAAAGCGCTAAACCCAATAACCTTTGTTTTCTCAGTGGGGCTCTCTGAGAGCCATGAAGCCCAGCTGCCATCGAGCAGAAGAGTGTTCCATCTGACTTGTCCCCCCAGCGTTAAAGCCCCAAGCTTTGTGTCTATCGCCCGAGAGCTCTTTACCTGGTGACAAATTAAAATTGCTCATATTAAGTCCAAAAACCACACCAGCACGCTTTGATAATTATTTCCAACTCGTTGCCCAGCCTTTTGTCCGTGGGGCCAAGCAAATAGTTCCTGAGGTTGGATTGCAACCCAGAGCCCCAGATTGCAGAGAAAAACCTCCTGTTGACCTCGCCGTGATGGGCTCCTGTTAACGGCTCTTCATTTAATCGTTTGGGCTGTAAATGGGATCCTCCTTTTGTGCCTTGTCACGGGTATCGCTCTCATCTGCATTTGCAGTCAGATTTTTTTTTTCTGATTGTTCCTTTTCTTCTTAGAGCAGCTTTCAGTGAAATGCTGATAAAAGGTGCCCTTTCTTAGGCTAAACCAGGATGTTTTTAAGGTTAAAAAAAAAATGAATTTTGTAATTTAAGCCGTGATTGTTCTCTGGACTTCAAAAAAAGACTTTTATTCTCTGTCTGATTTCTAGGCCATAATCTCATTGGAACAGGTATTGCCTTGACATTTGCATCTCTTGAGGTGTGGCAGGAAAAGACAGATTCCTGAGGAAATTGGTGTCATGTTGTGCCTGCGAATAGCTGTTACCACCTCTCGTGCTCTTCCAAAACCAGCCTCTGGTTGTATTGCTGCCAGCTGGACTCTGGAGCCTGACTGCAGAGGATGGGATGGAGAATAGGGGGGAGATAAGGTCATTTTATACCATAGGATCTTCTGAGGGCTGGATCTCTTCAGAAGTGGGGGTCAGTAGCTCTGTTTCCCATGGTGTATGTGGTGTTTCTCCTCTAACAGCTGTGGTTTGTTTGCAAAAGGAACTTAGTCCCCAGATGTCCCACAATGGTCCCACTATGTCTCTTTGTGTTGCAGCCCTTTCTCTGTGGAGCCCTCCATCGGGACGCTCGGGATTGGTGACACCATGCAAGTAACGGTGGAGTTTCACCCGCTGAAAAACGGGGACTATTCCAGGTCCCTGGTAGTTCACTACGACACAGGTAAGTGCTGGGTGGTGCCTGGTGTACCCTCTCTGCAATCCTTCCAACTCTCTCCATCCTTCAAAACAGAGCCCTTTCCTAAGCAGAATAACGTAGAGCTTGCTTGGCAAACAACGCTTAAAACCTTTAATTTCAAAACCTCTGCATGTTTCAGTGCTTAGAAATGAGCAGATAATGTGGCAATGGCTGGGTCTGTCCTTGTTCTGTATGTCCTGTGTCCATCCCTGGGGGACCCTGGTGTCAGCTGGGTGTTCTCCACCCATCACCTTCTTGTGACAGTCATCGACCATCATTCACTGTGGTCCCAGCCACCTTGATTCCCTCTCTAGGGGTACCTCTCCTGTCCCAGCTTTCCTTCAAATAAAAGCGCAAATAGTTGGCGATTTGGGAATTGTTAGAGTAGATCCCATCAAAGAGGAATGAGATTTTGGGATCCTGTTTCTGCTGGGAGTTGCTGAGTGGAAGAAGGAGAAATATTGATTCTCCATTGCTGTGTGTGAAGTTTTTATTCCTAGAAAAAGCTGTGTTTGAAGTGGAATATTGTTAACGCATGTCTTACCAGACTCTTCCCAACACTCATGTCTCTTATACACCTCTGTCCCATCTGCCCTTCTGTGTTGTCTTGCCATAGACCTATATTGTTCTCTACCCATCTACATCCCGTACTTAACATCAGGGCTTGAGGGCTCTTGGCAGGAAGCACTTGCTGCCACCCAAGATGGGTGTAAAATTTGTAACAAGGTACGAGCCACCATGGTCAGGCCATGGAAATGCTCTCAGCTTTAAGTCACTTTAAAAGTGACTCAGGGAAAGCTCAGGAGAAAGGTGCGGCATTAAAATGCTTCTGTCAGCCTTGGCTCAGCAGAGGTATCTCGTGATGCTGCAGGAGGTGCTTTCCCCGTTGAATGAATGCATTTGGTGTGCGTTTTCTCTTGCCTGAAAGGGGTTTGTTTCATCCCTGTCCCTCAATGTCGGTCCTGGGAAGCAGGATGTCCTCACCTGGGTGCGATGCTTGAGCCCTGCAACAAACATCTTGGTTGTCTCCAGTTTGTAGAGTTATAAAAATGCTCCTTTATCTTCGAAATGCTCTTTGTAAGCTTGATGAGTTATCACAGCTTTGTTTAATATTTCTCAGTTAATGACTTGCCCACAGAGAATAGTTTGGACTCACTCTGAGAAGCTCATGGGTTTGGATAACATTCTTGAAAAATACTGAAATTTCAGATAGAGAAGCACAAAAAGCGCCTCATTTGTATGTGTATAGAGAATCTATAGGATAAAATTCAGAGGGCTAGATCTATCTCTGGGGTAAATAAGTAGTAGCACTAGAGGTTAGGGCTGTAGGGCTTATACTGTGTGACCAAACAATAATTAGGACCAGGGTCTTCGTGCCTTGCTTTGAAAACCTGAGTTTTGTTTTTACTGAAATGCCTGGTTTCCCCGTGGTTCATCTTTGCAGAAGTGATTTGCATGGACAGACCACAGAGACCAAACTCTCTGCTGGCTCCAAATGAGTGACCGCCATGTGCAGCTTCCAGGGAGATGGACCCAGGATTCATCCTGCACTGTTGGGTTGGGTGTTTTGTTTTGTGTGTGTTTGTGGTTGGTTTTTTTTTTTCTCGTGTGTGTGTGTGTGTGGTTGGACTTGATGATCTCAAAGGTCCCTTCCAACCATGAAGATTTTGTGATTCTGCACGAGGCTGCAGTTATTTTTAATTCAACCACGGATCAAGAAGGGGAGAGCAAGGGAATAATTAAGGGATTATCTCTCCGGCTTTGAAGCATCCAAATAAGTAAAAGGCTGCCGAGATTAATTGCTAGAGTGAAAGCGAAACATTTAATCAATTGGTCTTAAAAGCTGCTTATCACAGGTGGAGCGCGGCGCAGCAGACGAAGTTCCCCGACTTCCCCTGGCAGAGCCCTGGCTAATTTGTCCTGGGTGAAGTCAGACTCCCTCTGCCTTGCTCTTTTTTTCACCCCAGCAGGGTGGTGAAGTTGTCATCCCTGGAGGGATTTAAGAAACGCGTAGACATGGCACTTCAGGGCATGCTCTAGTGCCAGGGATTGTTGGTTTGTGTCTGTTTGTGGGTGGGTTTTTTTTGGTGTTTTTTTGTGGTTGGACTCGGTGATCTCAAAGGTCCCTTCCAACCATGAAGATTCTGTGATTCTGTTTGTTACACTTGAGAGCAAAATGGCAGTTTAGGATGTTGGGAGGCCTTTTCCTTGCTTTGTGTGTGTCTGTGTCGACTTGCTCAGTCCTCCTCGATGAATCACACTGCTGTTAGTGTGACTTAGGCAGGATCAAGGTGCGTGTTACGTTGGTTTGGTTTATGCTGAAGCTGGGTCAAATCTGTCCCTGGTGTTGCTTAAGCAAACACAGAGCTCTTCCATGTGAATAAGTCACAATTTTCCCTTTGCCTATTAATTGGTTGATTTGTGTGTCCCTTAGACTGTCCTGGTTAGGGATGTAGGTGCTGTCCCCTGGATAGACTCTACATGTGATGGTTGTCCGGTTGCTACAAACTTTACAGATGACTGTGAAGAGAATGTCTTTGCAAAGAGTGTAATGATTTACAATGAAAATTTGACCTTCATTGCTTTAAATCATAGAATGGTTGGAGTTGGAAGCATCCAGTGCCACCCCCTGTCCTGGGCAGGAACACCTCCCACCACACCAGGTTGCTCCAAGCCCCCTCCAACCTGCCCTTGAACCCCTCCAGGGATGGGGCAGCCACAGCTTCTCTGGCCAACCTGGGCCAGGCTCTCACCACCCTCACAGTCAAGAATTTCTTCCTAGTACCCAATCTAAATGCTCAGACTCCTTCATTTCTCCCATGAATGTGTGTCTTGGTGTGCAAAATCCCAGCCCAACCTGAAGTGGAGGTGACTCAGGATGTTCTGGGCCACAGCACATCCCTATTCATCACCTTAAAGTCAGGTGAAGGTATCAGAAGGGGTTTCTGAGGCCTGCATGCCAAGCAGGTGTACTGATTTGGAAAGGGTTCTGTACTCAGGACCGCTTGAAGATCTGGTTGGTGGCTCTTTACAAATAAAGGAGGCTACAAGAGCCAGGAGGTGCTGGAGAGATGCTGGGAGTTGTGGAAAGAGGGTCACTTCTCTGCTCGGAGCTCCCTAAATCCTGACACCTGTCTCCAACAAGTACCTACTATGGTGTTATGGGTGGCCTTCAAGGTGTAAGACCAGATTCGGTGCCTGCAGTGCCTGGTGGTGAGGTGCTACAAGGTGCTTCTAGTCCAGAAGCTGTGTTGTGCAGCGCTGAAACTCCTCTGTGTGGTTTTTCCCCATGGTTGCCACATCCCTTGGGATCTCTTTGTCAGCACAGGGAACTTCAGTAATTAGCAAAGCCCCGCTGAGCTTGTGCCCGGCTGACAGACGCTATATCTTGAGATGCTTTTATTGCTGTCATTAATAAGAGTAATTATGCAGATCATTTCTTTCGGAGGCTCTGTGAGGCTAATGCAGAAGCAGAAGCCCCGGGGCAGGATCTCGCCCTCTTTGAGGGGAGAGATGAGAGCCAGTACTCGGAGGAGGAATTTAGGAGACAGCATGTCCAAGAAGAGCCAGCCCTCGAGCAGGAATGTCTGCTCCATTACTGTCCTGTCTCCCCTTGGTGCAGAGCCCCGGAAAGCAGCTTCCCCAGGAGAGAGAGGTTCCATGTGGCTCAGGAAGAGTGGTTTTAGTCCTGCTGGAAGCCTCCAGCCTCGTGCTAAAAGCCTGCTGAGGAGCCATCTGGGTGTTTGGCAGATTAATACCCTGTTTTTCCCTCGACTTCCTACACGACTTACAGGAGGGTTTGACAGTCCCTGAGCAGGAGCTCTCCTAAAGCTTGTTTGCTGTGGATCACAGACCTTCAGAGCATCCTTTGTGACTCTGCACACCCAGGGCAAGGAAGGGGAGAGCTCAGCCTCGGCTCCTTGATTAATTACTTCAAAGGCAGGTAGAAGATGCGGGCAGCGTCCGCCTCCAGCTCCAGAGCTGTCAATCAGATGGGATGAATTTTCCTGCGTTGGGTTAGTTACCGTCCCCGTAGGGAGTGGGTGAAGTCATGTCTCCCCTTCTGAGCCCTGGGGAGCAAAGCTCTCTGCCAAATTGAGGTTATTCCTGTACGGGAGAAGAGACCAGTTAAATATATGTTTCTCCAGTGCAGCACAGTAGGAACTGGGGATGGTGTGGAGCTGAGCTTACCCTGCCCTGGGGCTGGGAAGGGTCTGGCTGCCTTGTTCCCCCAACCTCGGAGCTTTGCTGGCTGGCCCTAAAAGTGTGGGGTCCCCATCTGTGCTAAGAGGAATCTCTGCATGGGTTATTCTGGTGCTGAGCACCAGAGAGTGAAGGTGACCTGCAGTTTGGGTTGGCCAGTATCTGCCCATGTGGACTACCTTTAGGGCGGCTGGTCCTACGGAGCGAGCAGGATTAGCAGGTCTGTGATCCTCCCCTCCCTTGGAACCAGCACGAACGCCTGGGGATAGATGCTATTTCCTTGGGACAATGCAGGAAGAAAAAATGGTTAAAAAAAAAAAATATCCTAGAATCATAGAATTGTCTGGGTTGGAAGGGACCTGTAAGATCGAGTCCAACCATTAACCTCACACTGCCCAAACCACCACTGACCCATGTCCCTCAGCACCACGTCTGCCTGGCTTTTAGATGCCTCCAGGGGTGGTGACTCCACCTCTGCCCTGAGCAGCCTGTTCCAAGGCTTGACAGCCCTTCTGGGGAAGAAATTTTTCCCAATATCCATCCTAAACCTCCTCTGGTGCAACTTGAGGCCGTTTCCTCTTGTCCCATCACCTGTTCCTTGGGAGAAGAGACCAACCCCCCCTGGCTACACCCTCCTTTCAGGGAGTTGGAGAGAGCAAGAAGGTCTCCCCTCAGCCTCCTTTTCTCCAGGCTGAACACCCCCAGCTCCCTCAGCCTCTCCTCACCAGACTTGTGCTCCAGACCCCTCACCAGCTCCGTTGCCCTTCTCTGGACCTGCTCCA